TAATTATATTGAATGCTTGAATTCATCTGATCATTAAATGAATTTAATAATTTCAATGAGAATTCATAATGAAATAATTTTCATTGAAGATTTATTTATTAAAATATTAAATATATTTTTATTAAATTGTAGATCTCATCAGCTGAGATCGAAGATTCTATCCCTGCAGCTTCTCCTGGGTATCCTACAGAACGCTGGGCCAGTGCTACGCTCCAACGAGATGTTCGTGATAGCCATAAAGCAATACCTCTGCGTGGCACTGTCGAAAAATGGAGTCTCTTCGGTCCCGGAAGTGTTCGAGCTCTCGTTGGCATTGTTCTTGGCACTGCTGGCTCGGTTCAAAATGCACCTGAAGATGCAGATCGAGGTGTTCTTCAAAGAGATCTTCATGAACATCCTCGAGACATCGAGCAGTTCCTTCGAGCACAAGTGGATGGTGATCCACGCGCTGACTCGCATCTGTGCGGACGCGCAGAGCGTCGTAGACATCTACGTGAATTATGACTGCGATCTATCGGCCGCGAACTTGTTCGAAAGGTACGCAAACAATGTTTATGTTAACCCTTTGCACTTGAGGTCTTTTGCGCTCGGGCGAACCAGCAACTCGTGACGATTTCGGGTATATTACAGAAGAACTTTAGGGGTAGTTCAAATCATTTTATACTATATAGATAGTATACTAAGTTTCAGTCTTTCTAGTGTTAATAATTTTAACTGAGTTTATTTTCATGGTTGCAGATAACTTGCGAAATGAAATCAAGGAAGGGACTGAGCCGCAGGTGTCGACGGCGTTGCCGCAGCCGCGGAGCGATTCGTACGTTATTTCCGCGGAGAAATACTTCCTGCCGTTTGAACTGGCCTGCCAGAGCAAGTCACCCAGGATCGTGGTCACTGCGTTAGATTGTCTGCAGAAGTTGATAGCCTACGGCCATTTAACCGGAAATGTACCTGACTCCACGGAACCTAATAAACTGCTCATCGTCCGCATCGTGGAGACGATATGCGGCTGCTTCATGGGCCCTCAAACCGACGAGGGTGTCCAGTTGCAAATTATAAAAGCCCTACTCACGGTGATGACCAGCCAGCACGTCGAGGTGCACGAAGGCACCGTTCTACTCACCATACGCACCGTTTACAGTGTTTATTTAGCTTCGAAGAATCTGGTGAACCAGACCACCGCGAGGGCCACGCTTACACAGATGATCAACGTTATTTTCGCACGCATGGAGACGCAGGCAGTACGTTTATTAATTAATTTTCATTTAATACTAAAA